ATATATAAGAAAATAACTACATCTCTACAGAAATAGAACACAACAATGATGAAAATTATCTTGAATGCATTTGGGTCAATATTAAAGGGCGGGAAATGACATTGCCATAGGTCTATACTATAGGCCACCCAACCAAACAGAGGAAGTAGATTATCTTTTTGCTAGTCAGCTAACTAAGGTATGTAGGAAGCACATCACAATAGTAATGGGGGATTTTAACTACCCTGACATCAACTGGGAGATAAACTCTGCATCAAATGGAAGATCAAATAGGTTCCTAACAAACCTAACAGACAACTTTGTTTCCCAAAAAATAGAGAAGGGAACAAGGGGATCAGCCATATTGGACTTAATTCCCACTAACAGAGATGAAATGATAGAAGGTGTTGAAGCTACAGGAACCTTGGGGGCAAGTGATCACGCAATATTAGAATTCAACATTATACAAACACAAGTAGTAGAACAAAGTCAAACTAGAGTCTTGGACTTTAAGAGAGCTAATTTCAATAAACTTAGAGAGGGCTTGAGAAGGATTCTATGGATGAGAATCCTCAAGGGGAAAACAACTCAAGAAGCTTGGGAAATTTTGAAAAGTGAGATTATAAAAGCCCAGTCTAGCACAATACCAATGAAGAAGAAAAATAATAGATCTCAAAAGAAACCAGCATGGCTGCATAAGGAACTCTCTAACAAATTGAAAGACAAAAAGGACAAGTATAAAAAGTGGAATGAGGAGCAAATAACTAAGGCAGAATATCAGCAAATAGCCCGAGCCTGTAAAGATGAAGTGAGGAAAGCTAACGTTCACAATGAACAAAGGCTTGCAACTAAAGTAAAAAATAACAAAAAAAGCTTCTGCCAACATATCAAAAACAAGAAAAAAGTCAAGGAAACAATTGGCCCATTGCTGGGAGAAAGTAGCAAGAAGATGACAAGCAACAGGGAGAAAGCAAAACTACTTAACTCATTTTTTGCATCTGTCTTTACACAAAAGGAAAAAACAGTCCAACCTATCAAAAACAGCACCACAAAAAATAGATTAGGAACACAAGTTAAAATAGGGAAGAAAATGGTAAGTGAACACTTGTTTACCCTAGACGAGGACAAATCACCAGGACCAGATGGATTACACCCCAAGGTTCTGAAGGAACTGGCAGACGAAATCCACTGAACTATATCTTTCAAAGATCCTGGCGCACAGGGGAGCTGCCAGAAGACTGGAAAAGAGCTGATGTAGTTCCCATCTTCAAAAAAAGAAAAAAAACAGATCCAGGAAACTAAAGACCTATCAGCCTGACCTCAATACCAGGGAAGATTCTGGAAAAGATAATCAAGCAACGAATCACCGAACACCTAGAAGCAAACAAAGTAATAACCATAAGTCAACATGGGTTTGTCAAAAACAGATAATGCCAGACTAATCTTATTGCATTCTTTGACAAAGTGACAAAATTAGTGGATCAGAGGAATGCTGTCGATATAATTTACTTTGACTTCAGTAAAGGATTTGATAAAGTAGACCATAACCTACTACTAGATAAAGTAGAAAAATGTGGGTTAAACAGCATCACCACAAGATGGATTCGTAACTAGCTGACCAACCGCACTCAACGTATAGTCCTCAATCGACATGGAGATGTCGATGTATGGAGACATGCATCTACATGGAGGGAAGTATGCAGTGGAGTACTTCAGGGCTCTGTTTTAGGCCCAGTGCTCTTCAACATCTTCATCAATGACTTGGACGGGGGGATAGATGGGGAACTCATCAAATTTGCAGATGACAGCAAGCTGGTAGGAATAGCCAACACTCCAGAAGATAGGCTCAAGATACAGAAGGATCTTGACAGACTTGAATATTAGACGCTATCTAACAAAATGAAATTCAGCAGTGAAAAAAGTAAGGTTCTACATTTAGGGAAGAAAAACAAAATGCGCAGGTACCGAATATGTGGTACCTTGCTCAATAGTAGTAACTGTGAGAGGGATCTTGGAGTCCTAGTGGACAACCATTTAGATATGAGCCAGCAGTGTGCAGCAGCTGCCAAAAAAGCCAACACAGTTCTGGGCTGCATAAACAGAGGGATAGAATCAAGATCACGTGACGTGTTAATACCACTTTATAACGCCTTGGCAAGGCCACACTTGGAATATTGCATTCAGTTTTGGTCACCACGATGTAAAAAAGATGTTGAGACTCTAGAAAGAATGCAGAGAAGAGCAACAAAGATGATTAGGGGACTGGAGACTAAAACATATGAAGAACGGTTGCAGGAACTGGGTATGTCTAGTTTAATGAAAAGAAGCACTAGGGGAGACATGATAGTAGTGTTCCAATATCTCAAGGGTTGCCACAAAGAAGAGGGAGTCAAACTATTCTTCAAAGCACCTGAGGGTAGAACAAGAAGCAATAGTTGGAAACTAATCAAGGAGAGAAGCAACTTAGAACTAAGGAGAAATTTCCTGACAGTTAGAACAATTAATAAGTGGAACAACTTGCCAGCAGAAGTTGTGAATGCTCCAACACTGGAAATTTTTAAGAAGATGTTGGATAACCATTTGTCTGAAGTGGTATAGGGTTTCCTGCCTGGGCAGGGGGTTGGACTAGAAGGCCTCCAAGGTCCCTTCCAACTCTGTTATTCTATTTCTATTTCTATTTCTTCTTAAAAACCTTCAGTGTTGGAGCACCCCCAACCTCTGCGTGTAGGAACACAAATTTTGGAGCATAGAGAATAGAGCATGTACAATGTAATTATGGTTATATTTCAGGTTGTCATTTCCTGGGGTAACTTTTGGTTGTGGTTGAATAGATCTAGATAAGTCTGTGGTGAGTGACATGATGCCACTTACACCCAATGACTCATGGTTTTCAGCGGGTGGCAAATAATTTTGTATTTCTATAATGTAGTTCCCACTAAACTAAAAAAATAGGTTCAGGGTGCTAGAATAAGGTGACCAGATTTTAACATTGGTAAAGAGGGACATTGTGGGTGTGGCTTATTTTGTGGGTGTGGCTAGCTGGTCATGTGAACGGGTGGCCATGGCTACGTGTATAGGGTAAGGTGAACAGATTTTAACATTGGTAAGAAGGACACCATTGTGGGCGTGGCTTATTGTGTGGGCGTGGCTTGGAGGCCATGTGACTGGGTGGGCGTGGCTAGCTGGTCATGTGACCCGGTGGCCATGGCTATGTGTATAGGGACTACTCAGAGGGCTGAAAAGTCATTTCTGACAGGTCCTCACACTTTTGACTGGTCCTCACACTTATGACCATCCTCACATTTATGCCCGTGCAGCATTCTTAACAACCATGTCACTCATTTCACAACTGCTTCTCTTCACCATGGTGACAAGATAGGGCAAAAACGTAAAATGTGAGGACAGTCGTAAGTTCGAGGACTGGTCAAAAGTGCGAGGACCAGTCAAAAATAACTTTTTCAGCCCTCTGAGTAATCCATATGCATAAAAGGATACAGTAATAGAGAGGGATGAAGGAAGGGAAGGGAAATTAGAGTAGGAGTGACGGTAAGAGAGGGAGGAAGAGAGGAGGAGAAGGAGAAAGGAAGAGAAAATAGGGAGGAGAAGAAGAGGGTGGGGGGGAAGAGAAAGTAAGAAGGAAAGAAAAGAGAGGTGGTAGGTTTGAGAAGAAAGATTGCTGTACAATAAAAAAGATGAAAGGGAAGAAAGCCAACCCCAAACAAATATAAAGATATTAAGATAAAGAATGAATTGTTAAACTTTAAAGAATAAAAGAGAACAAATATGAATAAATAGCAATAATTAGAAACACACATACAAACATACAATGTATTTTCTTTGAACAGAATATTTGGCTGGTTCACAAATTTAAACAGTGTTTAGTCATTTCAATTAAATTTACAATTTCTATATTTCCTTTTTGCCATATTTATTCCTCATCTCTTTTTTAAAAAAAACAATATTACCCTTCATCCTCATCTCTAATCTTAATCAAATTCAATTTTTCCCTTCTATTCTATATTATACCCCTTCCCATTGTCATCTATTTTTATATCCATCCTCACATTGGTTAATTATGTAATTATGTAATACAGTTGTTTAATACAAATTCAACATTTTAATATAAATCAATTAGTTATATAACTATCTTTTTTGTATATTAATCAATATGAACATGAATATTCCAATTATTTCCATGCAATCCAATTTCTTACAAATCAATTAATTATATTTACCAATAATAATAAACCAAATAATTTCCCCCATATATTTCTCCAAACCACAACTTAACAATTTCTGCTTTCAACACAGTATACAATTAATAGTATCTCAATTATTACAATTCCCTAGTTAAAAAGAGCTTTTTTTTCTTTTGTGTTTTAAAATCTTGAATCTAAAATCTTGAATTTAAAATCTCTTTTGCCCTAAATAATTTCCCATTGTTTGCACCTACCTTTTTTGGTGAGGAAAAGGAAAATAAATCTGCTGCCTAATTTTCCAAAGTTGCAAGCAAACAGCAAAGCCAACAGCCTGTTTTACTTTCAGTTTCGTTTTGAGCTTGGTTTGCACAAAGAGAAAAAAAAAACTGCTGAGCAATTTAGCAAGAGCAGAGCCCTGCGCAAATCAGCTGAGAGGGGGAAGCCGAGCTAATCAACGTAGGGCTGCCCTTTGAAGCCCCGCAGCAAGAGTTTAAACAGGTTTTTTCCCTCTAGCCATCAGCGGGGACTCAGGAGGCAGAATGAAAAATCGGGACTTTTTTAAAACGCTGCGGGACGCGGGACAAATTGCTCAAAAGCGGGACTGTCCCGCCAAAAGCGGGATGTCTGGTCACCTTATGCTAGAATGTTTTCTTCTTGCAGTTTAGAAGGTGAATTCTACAAAGAAATATAATTTCTCCTAGAATTTAATTGGGAGTCTCTTAATGAATTTTTTAAAAAAATGGATATGCTTATGAAGGTAGTTGTTATATTTAGGAAAGTATATAAGAAAGTAAGAATGTATCTTTTGTCTTTTCCTTTTAGATTCTGCTCATTCTTGCATCTGTTGTTGGTATAATTGTTTACAGACTTTCTGTTTTCCTGGTATTTTCTGCAACATTGCCAAGGCACATCAATGGAACTGACACAATACAGAAGTACCTGACCCCACAATTAGCAACTTCAGTATCTGCTTCAGTGCTCAACTTCATCATTATTATGATTCTGAATATTATCTATGAGAAAGTAGCGATAATGATTACTGACTTTGGTAAGGTTATCATAACATTCTATACAATATCAGGAGTAAAATGTATTAAGTACTACCAGTAACCTGCCAAAAATAGCTTCCAACATTAAAAAGTAAATTCCTTAAAGCAGCAGCAATATTTTTCAGGCAGATGAAGGAATCTAAAAAAGATTGAGTTGCTTTTGTAAATATCTGAGTGTGCTGCCTTCATCTTTGTGTCTGGTCTACAACTCTTATTTGGAATCAATTTTTGAAGCATGCACAGTTAGCAACAGCAATAGTACTTAGACTTATATACTACTTCATAGTGCTTTATAGCACTCTCTAAGTGGTTTACAGAGTCAGCATATTGCCCCCAACAATCTGAGTCCTCATTTTACCAATCTCAGGAGGATGGAAGGTTGAGTCACTCTCAGCCAGTCAGGATCAAACTCCTGGCTTGCAGCACTGCATTCTAACCACATCATGGCTCTTAGTAGAATGCCTATGCTAAATGATGCTAGCCAGAACACACATGTATAATATCAGTTGATCACATGGTAAAAGAAGAAAAGGTAGTAACATAGTAACAATATAGTTACTATGTAACAGTAATGAGTTTTTAATGTTTTTAATGTTTTTAATTTTTCAATGTCTTTTTATAATGATTTTTTAAATGTATTGTGAGCCGCCCTGAGTCTTCGGAGAGGGGCGGCATATAAATTAAATTAAATTAAATTAAATTAAATTAATAGTAACAGTTACATATTTGAATAGTTCAAATAATGTTATTTAAGCTAAAACACAATATTTTTGCCAAAAAATTGCTCTTGGATTAACAATTTCTCTCTCCTTTACCTGTAAACTGCAGAATTACCAAGGACGCAGACTGATTATGAATATAGCCTAACTACGAAGATGTTTTTATTTCAATTTGTCAACTATTATTCTTCATGTTTCTACATTGCATTTTTTAAGGGTAAATTTATAGGTTTCCCTGGTGACCCAGTTTATTGGTTGGGAAAATACAGAAATGAGGAGGTATGAATGAATGAATTTTGTTTTATAGGTATATTTCAACTGATAACTATTAAGCTGATTGCACTTTTTTCCTCTTTACCTTTTTGGACTATGGCATTCTATACATACATTTATTGAGGAGGTAGAAATTTCTGCATTCAAGTGGACTTGGCAACTGTAGGTGGATAATGTCCAATGCTAGGCATTGGATAAGGGCTTTGAAAACAATAACAGAGTTGGAAGATACCTTGAATGTCTTCTAGTCCAATCCTTTGCTCAAGCATAAAACCCTATGCCATTTCAGACAAGTAATTGTATAATTTCTTCTTAAAAACCTCCACTTTTGGAGCTCCCAAAACTTCTAGAGGCAAGCCATTCCACTGAGTAATTGTTCTAACTGTCAGGAAATTTCTCCTTAGTTCTAGGTGGCTCTCTCCTTCATTAGTTTCCATCCATTGCTTCTTATTCTGCCTTCAGGTGCTTTGAGGAATAGGCTGACCTCTTCTTCTTTGTGGCAGCCCATTAGATATTGGAACACTTCTATCATGTCACCTCTTTTCATTAAACCAGACATACCCCTGAAAGTCTATAGAGATTCTCAGTCATCCAGGTCATGGGGCGGGGGGGGGGGGAAGCACCTTTGGGATAGACATTCCAATAAAGAATGCAACCATTCTTCATATGTTTTATGAAGTCCCCTATTATCTTTGTTGCTCTTCTCTGCACTCTTTTCAGAGTCTCAACAACTTTTTTATACTGTGGTAACCAAAACTGGATGCAATATTTCAAGTGTGGTGTTACCAAGGCATTATAAAGTGGTGCTAACATTTCACATGATCTCGAGTCTATCCCTTTGTTAATGCATCTTAGGACTGCATTTTTGGCAGCTGCACCACACTGCTGGCTGGTATTTAAGTGATTATCCACTAGGTATGCAAGATCCAGTGGTGGGATTCAAATAATTTAACAACCGGTTCATCCAGGATCAGGTTGGCCATCGTGAGGCAGGTGGCCCACCCCCATGTGGGATGAGCGTCCTGCACATATGGGATGAGTGTCCTGCAATGTTCAACATGATCCTGGGTGAAACGATAGTTAAATTACACCCCACCCTGCTATCAAAGTGGATCCTGGACCCTGCACTACAATGGAGAAATGGGAAATGGAGTGGCCAGCATGAGGAAAGGAGGAGGAGCAGGGAGAAGAGGGAAAGTAGCCTCCTCCTTCCCTCGTGCTGGCCACTCCATTGCCCGTTTCTCCATTGCAACACAGCACCATGCTGCGGAGCTTGCCCCACCCACCACTACCCAGATGCCCTTGCTTCCTCCAAGCATTTATTTGCCTACCTGATTTCCAGCTCCATTGTGTTTCTTCGTTGTGTTTCTCACTGTTTTGTGCAGGGAAACAAGTTTGTGGGACTAAAAAAATAAGTTCAATCAATCAATTCCAATTTCTCATGAAAAAAAAAAGATCTTGTGAAGTTGGAATTGATTGATTGAACTTTTTTTTTTAGTCCCACCCACAAATTTTTGTTTCTCTGCACACGATGGCGAGAAACATGGCAGAGCTGGAAATCAGGTAGGCAAAGAAATGCTTGCTGGAAGTGAGTGCATCTGGGTGCCAGGTGCTGAAATGGGCCCCTCTCCATCAGTTGCCCAGGCCCACCAGAGGGAAGGCCAGGAAGGGACAGCCAGCATGGGTGCTGCAGGCTGGATGCCCGCTCACTTCAGCACCCTCCATGACCCTCTGGCACTCCACTGGCACTTTGGCCATGGGCTGCTGCCTTATGTGCAGGCCCAGTGAGACAGGCCAAGACACCAGAGGGATTGAAATGGGCACTATTCAGCTGGTTCGCCGAACTCCACAAAAAATTAGCTACTGGTTCTACTGAACCGGTGTGAACCAGCTGAATCCAACCACTGAAGATCCCTCTTGCCGTTACTACTATTGAGCCAGGTATGACCTATTCTGTATCTGTGCATTTGTTTTTCTTGTCTAAATGTAGAACCTTACTTTTCTTACACTGAAGTTTATTTTGTTAGATAGGGCCCAATGTTCAAGTCTGTCGAGATCCCTCTGTATCTTGAGCCTATTTTCTGGAGTGTTGGCTATTCCTGCCAGCTAGGTGTCAGCTGCAGATTTGATGAATTTCCTTTCTATCCCCTTGTCTAAATCATTTATGAAGATATTGAAGAATACTGGGCCTAAGACAGACCCTTGAGGCACCCCATTTCTCTCCCTATAGATGCAGTTCCATTAAGAACTACATGAGTGCAGTTTGTCAGGCAGTTAGGAATCCATCTGTTGGTGATGCTGTCTAAACCATATTTTTCTATCTTATCAAGGAGTAGGTTGTGAGTTTTTTTCAAATAGTAGGTTGTGTTGTGGCCCGCCAGCGGCCTGCGCAGATTGTTGCTGATCCCGACAATGAGGAGGCTGGTGTAGTGTCGCGCCAGCAGCCTGTGTAGCCAGCACTCGAGTCGGACAGCAAGGAGGCTGAAGAAGATGTGGTGCCAGAGGCAGGGATTCAACCAGGGCTTTCAGAACCTCCAGAGGCTCCTTTAAGTGAAGAGGATGAAGTGGGGGAGCCTCTTCTCAATGCACGGGCATGCAGAGCTGCCAAAAGGCAGGAGTGGTTACTCAGGAGGAGGTCTCGAGAATAAGGCTTGGGACTAATTGGCCACTCCCTTAGCCTATTTAAGTTTGCACACAGCTTGTAAAAAGCTGCAGGAAACAACGTATGTTCGTTCACTGATCATTGAGTTTGAATTTTCTCTACAAACCTTGATTCTGAGCTTTCTGCCAACTCTAGTAAGGCTCTATCTTATTTGTGGAATTTCAGGCAGGTTGTTAAGAACGTTTTAACGTTCTTTGCGTTCTTTGGGATCCGTAGCTGGGGCAGAACAGGTTGTGGATTTTTTAAACTTCTGTTTCCAGCTGTTCTTTCTTTTTTGAGGGGGCGAACAAGGGCTGGTGTCAAGGAATTATCTTCCTTTTGGCGACATTACATATAAGAGGTGTGGTGGCGCAGTGGTTAGAATGCAGCATTGCAAGCTTATTCTGCTGGCTGACGATTAAAGGCAGTTCAGCAGTTTGATTCTCACTGGCTCAAGGTTGACTCAGCCTTCCACCTTTCTCTCAACCAGATTGTTGGGGGCAATATGCTGACTTTGTAAACCACTTAGAGAGGACTGTAAAGCACTGTGAAGTATATAAGTCTAAGTGCTATTGCTATTTCTCCCTAAAAACAGGAATTTGTAGACCTGAAAGTGAAAACTATGTCAGCAACCAATTTTGAGCAGAAAGAAAGGAATTAATTATTCCTCTGCTATTTTATTTTAAATGTTTGCAATTTTCCTACGCAACCTCAAGCTTGGTCCTAAATCCAGCCAACAACAACAAAACAGTCAGTTGAAGCTGTCATTTTTATATTTTCTTATCCAACTTCTTCTGAATCTGTCTTATGTTTTATGACCAGAATTCTCCTGGTTCTGAGGATATTGTCTTAATCTTGGGGTTAAGAGAGTGAATTAACACCCTAATAAACTGTTCACACAACACTGGAGGAATAACTGGATATGTGGATTTCTGCTAGGATTAAATGTAACCTAATCTGTAGATTATTTAAGGAGGTTGCTTGTGTGTATCGGAAAGTTTGCACAATGTGGTTTTGTGTGTGTGTGTGTGTATATATATGTATGTATGTATACGTATATGTATATATACTTATATAGCTTAGTAAAATAAATAAAAAAAATTTTAAAATTATTTTAAAATTTTAAGTTCCGGAGCTCATAGAATGTCTGCTTCTTTATATAGATATATAGATATATAAAAATGTAATATCACAAAGCTATAACACAAAACACTAAAAAATGCCTTAGTCATCTTCCTGAAATGCTCAACCACCAGCCATAGGCATTGTGGTTCTACTTCAATACCTGGATAAAAAGCTACCTCTTTACTGGGCAGTATACTGAGGACAAAGAACTAAGCTCCTCACTTTGCTTGCAAAATTCATTAATCTGAATTAATTTTGAAGGACAAGTGATGAGCTTTGTTATTTTAGAAAAAGGATTAAATAAAAAATATCTGTCATTAGTTAGAACTAGATAGGACAAGCAAGCAATATATTATTGAATTATCAACTTTGGGAAGCAACAACACAACTATATGTCCATGATGAGTCTCAGTCATCCCGGTCATGGTTATCCCAAAGACAAACTAGTCTTTGTTTTTCCTTTAAGATGTTTCACTTCTCATCCAAGAAGCTTCTAGGGCTTGTGAAAACAAGACAGTGGATTAGAGATTTTTTAATCTGTCTCTTTTTATATTCTGATTTGGGATATGTAATTTCAGGCCAGCTAATCTCATTAGTGAACATTAAAACTGAAAAAATAGATTTCTAGCATTCTTTAGTGCTCAGTTTAATATGCTAGGTTGAACAGAAGTTATTATCTGAATAGTTGGATAAAATTGACTAAATACAAATAAGCAGATTTTAGTATAAAAACATTTTCATAAAGTTTAGGATAGCTTAGTTGAAGAAACTATTATTTTTTTGCAGGAAGCAAGTTATAACATGCTTTATTTCTGATCCCCCCTTTTTCACACTTAGTGTGATCCAGGTGGATGTCTTCTTGAGCTGACAACACAGCTAGCAATAATAATGGGAGGCAAAGCCATCTGGAATAACATTCAAGAAGTGCTTTTTCCGTAAGTAAATAGCGTTGATACCAGGAGTTGAAAGAAACCTGAAGAATTGATTTGCACTACAAAAAGCAATCCCTGAATTAAGAAACAGAGCTTTATCAGTAAAATAGATTTAATTGTCAAATGCTCAGAAAAACAGTGACGATCTAAGAAATACTCAGAAAAGAAATAAATAAAGAGAATTAAAGGATTTTTTAAAAATTAGTACTAGTTCTATATCTTGTACTTATCTTAAGTCAACTAAATTTATAACTCAATTTGAGCTAAGTTAGGGCTCTCTCACTGGGCCCCCCAAATTCAGGTAACCTAGATGGCAACAAAGAGTCTACAAAAAGTACCTACATGTAAAAAATATTCAAGTTACACAAGAACTTGCTCTTCCTGAAACCATCGTCTGTGACCTGTCCTTAAATACCACATTTCGGTTCTTACTATGTTACAGAGCCCCAGATTACGACATTGCAAATTTGAACTAGTTAACTTCACTACCAATATAAGCAGCCTCCTGCACACACCCTATAATCTTTCTTGGTGACCTTAATTTACACTTATTAATTGGATCCTAAATGAATGTACAACTGAACCTATACATGCAACCCTGTACAGTGATGGTTTGCCCCCAGTTTCACAAGAACTGGTAGTAAAACTGGCGGGAGGTCCCGCCCACTGCCCCGGATGTCATCATCAGCAATCTGCGCGTGATCCTGTTGCGAACCAGTGGTAAAGGTAAGTAGAACCCACCCCTGACCCTGTACAATACTATAACTAATCTGGGACTTGATCAACTAGTAACTAACAACATTAGACTCAACAACTGCCTTGATCTCATCTTCTGCAACAGTTTAAACTCAATTTATGGACTACAAATAAAAGAACCATTCTCCAACAGCGACCACAGTATGATTGACTTTTGTCTCAATTTATGCCCTCACAAAAATCATCATAATAATGGGATTCCCAGTTATAGCTTTAAAAAAGCCAACTACGATCTCAAAAACAATGAACTCTGATCTCTTGATTGGCAAAGTCTATTCATTGGCTGTAATACTGCTGACGACCATTACAACATTATCTTGCACGAAGTCAAAAGAATCATTAAACTTTACATACCACTAATATCCCCCAAAACCAGAAAAAATAAACTACCAATAACAATAAGGAAACTACAATCCAGAAAAACAAAGCTAACTACGTAGCTAGCTTAAAAAACCGCTACAAAAACTTATGCCAACAAATAATGACTGAATGCACCAATTATCACATCAAGCAAGAGGAAAACCACCTATGCACAAAATCCACCCCTGCCTTCTATAATTTTGTAAACAACAAACTTAAAGACTCGAGATCCATCCCACCCCTAAAAGGACCAAACGACGAAGACTGTATTGACGAAACCATTAAAGCCAATCTCTTTAACACGTTCTTCGGCTCAGTCTTTGTAAACAGCAACAACACATACCCAATATTTCCCAGTCGTAATTCAGATAATTACAATGATTACGGTGATCTTATACATATTGATTTTACCGAAGACAACGTTGAAAAGGCACTACGCTACCTAAAACCATCTCTATCTATTGGACCTGGTGGACTATGTGCATACTTCTTAAAAAAGCTTTCCACTGCAATCGCAAAACCTCTAAGCATAATTTTTGAAAAATCTTTCAGTACCAACTTCTTGCCCTACCATTGCTTGTGGTTCACAAGCCATGATCATCCCTATCTTCAAAAAGGGAGATGCTAGCCTAGTTGAAAATTACAGACCAATCTCTTTATGTTGCATCACTTGCAAAATCATGGAATCAATCATTAACCAATCTATTACCCTCCACCTAAAGACAAACAACCTACTCTCCAACAAACAATTTGGTTTCAGAAAAAAATTATCCTGTAATCTACAACTACTACATTGCAAAAACGTATGGACTACACATCTTGATCAGGGCAGAGCAATAGACGCAATTTACATAGACTTCTGTAAAGCCTTTGATTCAGTGGTACACAACAAATTACTTCTAAAACTAAAATCCTATGGCATTTCTGGACTCCTACATGAATGGATAACTGCCTTTCTGTCAAACAGACAATAAGTGGTTAAAATAGGAAGCACTCTATCAAATCCTGTACCTGTTAATAGTGGTGTTCCCCAAGGCAGTGTTTTAGGTACAACTCTCTTCATACTTTACATAAATGACCTTTGCGATCATATTAAAAGCAACTGCATTCTCTTCGCTGATGATGTTAAACTATTCAACACCACCGACAATGCAACTACCTTTCAAAAAGACCTTGACTATGTGTCAGATTGGTCTAACAAGTGGCAACTTCAAATCTCAACCAACAAATGCTCTGTCTTGCACATTGGCAAAAAAAAAATCAAAACATAAAATACAAATTAGATGAACATGACCTTGTAGATGACCCTCACTCTGTCAAGGACTTTGGAGTACTCATTTCTAAAGATCTAAGTGCCAAAGCCCACTGTAACAACATTGCCAAAAAGGCATTAAGAATTGTTAACCTAATCTTAGGTTAGGGTTAGGGTTAGGGTAGCTTTTTCTCTGGTAACTAGAGCATACAAAATATTTGCTAGACCAATTCTTGAATACAGCTCATCTGTCTGGAACCCGCACTGCATATTGGACATAAATACAATTGAGAGAGTCCAGAGATATTTTACGAGAAGAGTCCTTCATTCCTCTACCCGCAATAAAATACCTTATGCCACCAGACTTCAAATTTTGGACTTAGACAACTTAGAACTATGCCAATTTCAGTGTGACCTAAGTGTAGTACATAAAATTATCTGCCACAATATCCTACCTGTCAATGACTACTTCAGCTTCAACCACAACAGCACACAATAGATACAAACTTAAGGTAAACTGCTCCAAACTCGATTGCAGAAAATATGACTTCAGTAACAGAGTGGTCAATGCCTGGAATACACTACCTGACTTTTTGGGGGTTTGGGGATTTCTTCCCCAAACCCCCAAAACTTTAACCTTAAACTGTCTCCTGTTGACCTCACCCCATTCCTAAGAGGTCTATAAGGGGCGTGCATAAGTGCACCAGCATGCCTACCGTCCCTGTCCTAATGTTCCTTTTTACTCTTAATCTTTTCATGTATTCAAATTATGTTTATACTTTTACCTGTTATCTTATATATGCTTGACAAATAAAAAATAAATATAATAACAAATAAAAATAATAAAATAAATAAAAAATAAAGAGATACAGAAAACCATAAATTATTGTTATCATTTTGAGGTCGTCTGAAGTTTTGCAGCCCAGAGTTGATAGCTAATTTGGGGTGATTTGGGATGATGTTGAACATAGAAATTATAAATGGATTGTTTTATTTTTTCAATTTGAATTAGATGGATTAAATCCTCCCAGTGTGGGAAAAAATTGAAATGTTTAGCTCTACTGTTTTGCGGAACTTTGGGAGCAACAAAGAAATGCTGATAGAGTTCAAATGTTACACCTCTACTCTAGCAGCTAGAATAAATCTTGCTGATTCTCCAAATGTACAGGTGGCTTAAAAATCTGGTTGGGAGATGCCGCTCAGCTACACGATCCAAAACTATTGTTCCTCGCTGGGAGCAGGACTACCATTTGCAGGCCATTGGCAAACTTGGATTGTTTTATGAATACCTCGAAATGGGTAAGCCGACTAATCATTTTATTTCTTCTTGTCATGTTATATATTGGATCAAAATTTGCTTCACAGATTCTGTTAAATAATTAATACAAAATAGAGGAAAAGGAAAAAAATGTGTGTATACCTCATGTACATGTGTGCATGCCTACACAGGTATGGAGGCCTAATGCAAAGAGCTATGCTTAAATTATATGTAAAATGAATGTGTAAATTTATGCTGGAATTTTGGTTGAATCATAGACTTTAGTATTAAAAAGGCTTCTGTATGTCTTAAATACAAAGTCCTTTCATGCTTATCTCTCTCTGAACAGATGCTCATACTTTCTAATTCAACTTTAGTACACCAATTTTTCTTATTTTTGGCTATGCAAAGGGCTTTAATATACTGTAAAAATGGGAAGACCATCCTGGTTATCACCTATGGTTTTTTTAAAAAACGTTGGTGAGAGCAGAAGTCCATATTAGCCCAAAAGTATATTCATTTCTATAAAGAGATACTAATGCACGTTTTCTGATAAACATAATATGTGCACATTTCAGTTCTTCCAATATCTTTAATAACCCTCCTCTATATAGAGGAGATATGTTTTTATACTGTATATAAATAAAATCAATAGCACTTAGACTTACATACTGCTTCACAGTGCTTTATAGCTCTCTCTAAGCAGTTTACCAAGTCAGGATATTGCCCCCAACAATCTGGGTCCTCATTTTACCCACCTTGGAAGGTTGGAAGGCTGATTCAACCTTGAGCCTGGTGAGATTTGAACTGCCAAATTGCAGGCAGCCAGGAGTCAGCAGAAGTAGCCTGCAGTATTGCATTCTAACCACTGCACCACCACAGTGTGTGTGTGTGTGTGTGTGTGTGTGTGTGTATACGCACATACATACTGCATTCAGAAAGTATTCAACCCTCTCTTCACTTTTGTCAAGATGAAGCCTGATTCTATAGTTGTTGAAATTCTTTTTTTTTCATTAATCTACACTCAGTACCCCATAATGACAAAGCAAAAACAGAATTTTAGAAATGTCTGTAAATTTATTAAAGAGATAAAATAAAAATATCACATTGGCATAAGTACTCAGACCTTCACTCAGTACTTAGTTGAAGCACCATTAGCAGCAATTACAGCCTTGAGTCTTTTTGGGTATGACATGACAAGCTTTGCACACCTGGATTGGAGGATTTTCTGCCATTCTTTCTTGCAAATCCTTTCAAGCTCAGTCAGGTTGGATGACGACCATCGGTGGACAGCCATTTTCAGTATCCTCCAAAGATGTTCAGTAGGGTTCAAGTCATTAAGAGTTATCCCTAAATCTCTCCTATGTTGTCTTGGCTATGTGCCTTGCTCCATTCAGCTTTCCCTCAACCCTGATCAATCTTCCAGTCCCTGCTGCATACCACCACCATGCTTCACTGTTGGAATGATATTGGGCAGGTGATAAGTGGTGCCCGGTTTCCTCCAAACATAATGTTTAGAATTGAGGCCAAACTGTTCAATCTTGGTTTCATCGGATCAGAGAATCTTGCTCCCCACAGTCTGAGAGTCCTTCAGGTGCTTTTTTACAAACTCCAAGCAGGCTTTCATGTGTTTTGCACTGAGGAGAGGCTTCCATCTAGCCACTCTACCATAAAGCTCAGATCAGTGGAGGGCTGCAGTGATGGTTGCCCTGGAACTCTGTCCCATCTCCATACAGGATCACTGGAGCTCAGTCAGAGTGACCATTGGGTTCCTGATCACCTTTCTTCCTAAGGTCCTTCTCCCCCAATTGCTCAGTTTGACAGGGTGACCAGCTCTTGGAAGAGTCCTGGTTGTGCCAAACTTCTTCCACTTGAGAATTATGGAAGCCACTGTGCTCTTAGGAACTTTTAGTGCAGCAGAATTTTTATTGTAGCCTTCCTCAGAGCTGTGCCTTGCAATAATCCTTTCTCTGAACTCTGCAGGCAGTTCCTTTGACCTCATGGCTTTTGCTCTGCTACAGTATGCATTGTCAACTGTGAGGCTTTCTATAGAGAGGTGTGTGCCTTTCCAAATCATGTCCAATCAATTTAATTTACCACAGGTTGACTCCAATCAAAGCATAGAAACATGTCAGCAACTAACAAGAGAAATGGGAGGCACTTGAGCTAAATTTCAAATGTTCTTGCAAACGTTTCAGTTTTTTTCTTTTTAATAAATTTACAGACATTTCCAAAATTCTGTTTTTAATTTGTCATTATGGGGTACTGAGTGTCGATTAATGAGAAAAAAATGAATTTCAACTGTAGAATTAGGCTGTAGCATAACAAAATGACAGAAGTGAAGGGAATCTGAATACTTTCTGAATGCACTGTATATGTGATGATGGATGGATGGATGGATGGATGGATGGATGGATGGATGGATAGATAGATAGATAGATAGATAGATAGATAGATAGATAGATAGATAGATAGACAGACAGACAGATAGAACGGACAGACAGACAGACAATCACCACATTAATAATGTATATATTCTTTTGTTGAAATATTGAATAACATGTTGGAAATTTATTGAATAAGATACTGAAAATGATTGAATAAACCTAGAATCAGGAGTGCTATTCAGCAGGTTCTGACAGGTTCTGGAGAACTGGTAGCGGAAATTTTGAGCAGTTTGGAGAACCAGCAAATACCATCTCTGGCTGGCCTCAGAGTGGAGTGGGAATGGAGATTTTGCAATATCCTTCAAATGTGAGATTTGAAAACAGATAAAGCACTACTGTTTCATCAACATTATAATACTATATTTATTATTTCTAGTTATACAATTTGGATTTGTAACATTATTTGTGTCATCATTCCCGTTGGCACCCCTTCTGGCCCTTATTAACAATTTATTGGAAATTCATGTGGATGCTTGGAAGATTACCACACAGTATAGACGCATGGTTTCCCAAAAAGCCCAACATATAGGGGCATGGCAACCTATCATGCAAGGAATAGCCATTCTGGCTGTGATAACCAATGTAAGTACATTTTACAACAATAATTACCTGCTTATAAACATTACAACAATTGTACTTTTTAATAATTCAATTGTTAAATATTATAAAAACCATACCATGATTAAACAGTAGTTGGACTGGAGAGACTCAGATTCTGGCTCACCTTCAGCCACCAAAACTCATAGCATAACTTGGACCTCAGTCTCTCTCTCTCTCTCTCTCTCTCTCTCTCTCTCTCTCTCTCTCTCTCTCTCTCTCCCTCCCTCCCTCCCTCCCTCCCTCCCTCCCTCCCTCCCTCCAATGCATTTCACAGAAATATTTTTTAGTAATAAAATAAAGGAGACCCTAGAAATAAAATGAAGGAGATCTTACTGGTAGCAAAAATATGAGATTTAAATCTAACAAATAATTCAGGACAACATCAGTTAGTAGATGTTCAAAAAACATCATATGCAATTAACAGAATTTTCAGTCATCTTCCCCCAAATACTGGACAAATAGTCTGGATCAAGTGTTTTCATGTGTTATCTTTTGATTAAGAACCATGAGAGACCTAAGGTGCCTTTGTAATATCTGACTTATCACAAATGTAAAAGCTGAGCGCACTACAAACAGGTTTCAGTAGGCAGCACAATCACTAACTCTGCACTAGAATCTGAGGATACTTATTTAGCCAAATATTTAAAATCAAAACCCCAAACTACCTTTATCTAGTCTATTATTGGTGTAAGAGAGTGAAAAATAATCCCATTATTAAGAACCATCAATCTCCTCTGTTAAATTCATGTTTAGTTCTTTTCACTGCATGAATTTGTTAGAAATGGTAGTTTAATAACTATTCCTGACAGTTGTCTGTAGCCTTTTGTCATGCTCAAATGCAATTCCATATGCAGCATATTGAATTTATCTAGACAGGAAGCTATTAGAGCATGAAATACTGTGACCAGGAAAGATTGCAGCTAGCAGAGAAAAGTGATTGGATACCTATTATTTCAAGAGACCATCTGGATGCCTTGAAAGAGACATACTAGAAGCTCTCCTAAATAATTTCCTGGGCACAGAGATATATGGGGTGCAAGGTGCTTGAGAGAAAGCAAATTATCAAGGTTAATTGATAATTAACTCTGGTTTCAGACTAGGAATTTGGAGACCTATTTATCCTGCTAAATAACTGCTTCAAGCAGGTCTTTCTGTATGTATTGGCAAATTATAATAGTTGGTTGCAGAGTCAGCTAGATATTTAGACCGGTTTTGGCATGTTTGTGCCCCTATTGAGTCTGAGGACACATAAACAGATGAGAGTGTTAAAGATATTGTCACAGGATATAAGTATAGATTCAAGAGTTCAAAACTCAAATTTCCCTACTTTAATAGTGAACTAAAGATTCTTTCAGAAAATTAATAAGCATTGTATTATATTTTAAAAATACTTTGTAGATATACCCATAGGCATTCCACAGAAATGAGAGCCAATTTGGTGTAGTGGTTATGACATCAGTCTAGAATTCTACTCCTGCCTTAGACACAAAGATGCCTTGGACCAGTCATTCACTCCTAGCCCTAGGAAAGAGGCAATGGCTAAACAGTTCTGAAAAATCTTGTCAAGAAAACTGGAAGGAGTCTCTGAGAATTAGATATGATGAACGGGGGGAAAAAGGAAGAAAAAAATCCACATAAAGTGTGTAATATACCAAGATTTTAGAACTACTGAAATCCAAGGATAGCTCCTTATATCTTTTATTCATATTTAAAATGATTGCCTGAAATATCACACAGGATAACAACACCAACATACTTAGTGTATCCATTACAAACACAAAATTGATGATTGGTTAATAAATTTGCAAAAGACTTTTTGCAATTGAATTTTTATCTGTCTAATTTCGTTCAATATCCTTTGCATCTTTTCCTGGGATATTTTCTTCTCTAAGTGATTGTACTGTATAAAATAGCCCCTCATAAACGCTTTACTGCATCCCATACTGTTGTTAAGCTTGTCCCTTTTCCCAAATTATTCTCAAAGTATTCCTGTTGTTTCTTTTTACAGTCTTTTACAGTCCTTTCCTTTTGTAGAATAGCTTCATTTAATCTCCATCTGAAACTCGAGCACTTTCATTTTAAAACCAAAAGCACAGGATTATGGTCCGAGAAAGGTTTAGGCAGAATGTCCAGAATGTCAAAATTTTACTTGTGTGATTTTTAGATATCCATATCATGTCAATCCTTGAAAAAGATTTATGTCTTTCAGAGAAGAATGTATATTTTCTGGCATTTCCATTTTTTTTATCTCCATGAATCTATTAGTGCTAGATTACCCATCATCTCAAAGAAGGTTTTAGATAATTTACCCTGTGAGGGGTTAACCCCTTTAATTGATGTTCTATCCAAAGCTGGTGTAGTCACTCCATTCCAATCCCCCAACATAAGCCAGTTTCCATACAAGAAAGGCAGTAACTGATCCATTAAATGATCAAAAAAATTGCTTCTATCATCATTTGGCCTGTACACGCCCACTACTATTGATTTTATCTCATTAAATTCTATTTCCACTGCTACAAATCTACCATGTCCATCTGCTATAAGTAGCTTAGGTTTGAATTGGGATTTTATATATAAAACAACCCCATTAATCTTTTTTATACCAGCTGATATAAATTCTTCTAATTGTTTATTTATCAAATATTTCTTGTCTTGTTTCTTAATATGTGTTTCTTGAAGACAGACTATATCCAGATTAAGTTTCCTCAAATAGTGAAATAATTTTTTATGCTTAGATGGGGCAAAATTTGTGAAAGACTTTTATCTATTTGTAAGTCTCCTAAAGTCACTTCTAGGTGAGATGGGTGGCATATAATTTTATTAAATAAATAAATCTGTCATGACTTGGATCAGTTAAATGAATATCCTGCTGTTTTCCTAAAATATTTATACAGAGCTAGAGCCAGTGGTGGGATTCAAATAATTTAACAACCGGTTCTCGTGGGAGCGAGGAGGGAAACTGGGCAAGCCCTGCCAGAAAGGGTCCATCGAGGAGCCCCCACCAGTGGATGCCCTCAGGAGGTGTGGGCTTGTGCAGACAGGGCCAGAGCCCCTTCCACTCTCCCCCTCAGCATTCCTCTTCCAACACCTGTGTTGAGTATTGAATGACCATTCAAACGGACCAATTAGAATTAAATAAAAGAAGCGGGAGATTTAGAGGAAAGTCAGTGGCTGAAGCTGTGGACAGCTCCCTTTAAAAGGGGCTGCTGCGGCTAGGCTTTTCCATTGCTGTACTGGAGCTAATAAAGAGCTGTTACTAAGTCACTGTCTGTGTCCTTTCTCTGCCCACGATCTTGCACTGGCGATGAAGGTGGGATTTCAGGAGGACAATCGGATACTAAGTCACTAAGCTCCCCAAAGCAATCGCTGGCCACCAGAAGCAACGGCCAGAAGATGTCTTCGATCATGCCGCCCGCACCATTCAACCTGGCTGGAGAATACTGGGAATCGTACATGGAGAGATTCCACATGTTCCTCGAGGCAAACGACTTGCTGAGCTTATCGGAACAGAGAAAGAGGGCACTCTTCCTCACCCACTGCGGAGCCACCGTTTTTAAGATGGCAAAAGCGCTAGCATCACCGGCAGAGCTGAGAACGATGACCTGGCTGACCCTGCAGAACATTCTGAGAGCCCACTATGCACCACAAGCTTCATCCCTGGTAAGAAGAAACGAGTTCTACCGGAGGGACTAGAAGGAAGGGGAATCAATAAGCGAGTTCGTGGCCACATTGCGTGAGATAGCCACCACTTGCGAATTCCTAAACATGGACGAAGCTATGAGGGACCGTCTTGTACTGGGCCTGAGGGACCTCACATTACAAAGCCGTTTACTTACAAGGCCAAAAATAACATTTCAAGAGGCTTTGGAAGAAGCAATGGCGACTGAGGCATCCCAGAAATCTGCAGCCGCCATGAAGAAAATGAACAAGGGGCTGCAAGGGAAGGAAAAAGCCGCCATCCACTACGAGGAGGTAGAGACCCAATCAGAAGAAGACGAAGGAGATGAAGTCCATCACCTCTGCTCAGACCGCAAAGAGAAGAAACAAGGGAAAGGAAAGAGGGAACTGCGGTGTGCAGGCTGCGAAGGGAATCACCCAAGATCAGAGTGCAGGTTCCGAGACGCAATCTGCCAGAGATGCGATTGTAAAAGGCACATAGCAAGAGCTTGCAGGGCATCCCAGCCAGCCTCACGCAGGACCAAACAAACCGGCCCTCAGCCACGAGCCAGACAGTTCCAGACAGGAGCCCGGAAACAGCCATTTGGGAGAAGGCGCAGGAGTGAGGACTATGGATCAGAAAGAGCGGAGACCCATCAAACAATAATAGTCAGACACGAGAGCGCGGGAAAGTCTAAGAAGATGGCGGCATCGAGGGGAGACCCTGCAAAATGGAAGTCAACTCAGGGTCGTGCCTCTCCATGGTATCCTGGGCCACCATAAAGCAACTAATTCCCAGCCTCACGACCAGTGCACTCAAACATCAAAGAATCACGCTAAAAGATTACCAAGGCAACCGGATTCCAGTCCTGGGCATTGGACAGTTCAACATAAGATTCAAAGGCTTCCGAGGAAACTGCCTCTCACCATAGTGGACCAGGACAGACCCAGCCTATTAGGTCTGGAGTGGTTCAAGCCTTTGGGACTAGCAGTAACCGGGGTCAATTGGATTGAAGACGACGGCTGGGAAGAGGAGCTGATGAGAGAATTCACGGATGTCTTTGATGGCAAATTAGGCAAGTACATGGGGTCCCCAATATCGTTCAACCTAGATCCCCAGGTAGCCTCTGTCAGAATTAAACCCAGGAGTGTTCCTTTTGCTCTACGGCCCAAGATAGATGAGCAACTGGACAAACTCGTTGCCCAAGGGGTACTGGAGCCAACGGACCATGCTAAGTGGGAAACACCCATTGTCACCCCCACAAAGCCAGATGGGTCAGTGCGCCTCTGCGGAGACTATAAGAGCACCCTAAATAGGGCGTTGC